AATAAACACACTCAGCCACACTTATTTCATTCCATTTAGTATACTCAAAAAGGTAATGGTTTAATGATACCCTAGTGATCTGTAACAGTTAATGCACCACGGAAAATGATTCGCCCAATTCCCGGCTCACTAATAACTCTAAGACTTGTGTTATGAATAAAGGCCCTATCCTTCAGGGAGTCAGGTGTTTCCACCTCTGCACCTCATAACAATATTATTAGATTGCCATTTTCTCTTCGCGGGTCACCAAAGTGCAGCGTCTTGGGGAGACAGGGAAATGCTGTAACAGGCTCTGCTTGGTAAGCTGATGGATCCTCGGCGCATGCCCTGGGACAGTTGCTATGGCAAACAAGGTGGGCTCAAGGAGGCAGCATGATTTCCTAGCTGGGATCCCCATGCCTGGAGTCACAGCAGGGTTAGGCAAAGCGTAGCGGCCGAGATGGAGCTCCCACTGGCGGCAGAGCCAGTGGGCTGGCAGGTTAGAGACGTGCCTGTGCTCCCCTCAGGTGTGCACAAACTTACAAGCTGTCTGGGTGTCCTTGGGAAAGGTTGGGAGCCATGGTTCTTAGAAGTCTTCCTTGGAATCATGTCTCTGGCCTGCTCGGTGTGGGCGGCAGGGACTGCCTTGTCATAGTTTACAGTGGATAGACTTGGTCTTGATGTTTCAAGTCAGAGAGACAGCTGTGCCCAGGCAGACGGGTTTCCAAAATAAACTCCAAGGGGGCTTGAAGATGATGCATGTGGGATGTAGGCTACCGTGTCACCAGAAGTACTTTCTCTAGAGATTTCTATGACCTGACCCTTTACAAATGAGTGTAACAGAGAGGGCAAGGACCAAGGAGGCAAGCGAGCCCAAGTTGTTCCACTGCTCGCCTGTCATCTGTAAGTTGGTGAGATCAAAGTCTATTTGGCAGGATTATTATGAACACTGAAGCTCATGTATTGAACATTCTGTATAACACTAAGAAAAAAAAAGGTAGCCAGTGTTGTTGTTGTATATAACCCCACCCATTACCATCAAGATATTCCAACTCATAGCAACTACATAAACGGTTTTGAAGTTGATAGTTACAGGACTAGACAGCCTCATCTTTCTCCCTTAGAGCAGCTAGTGGGTCTGAACTGCCCACCTGGTGGTTAGCAGCCACTGTTGAGCCAACTGTGCCACCAAGGTTCCTGTTGTATATATTTCCCTTTAACATTAAGCAAAGGTGAAATTAATATGAATATTTTACTGATTGTTCATTGTCAGAATAGGCATCTATATGTAAATTTTACCCATGAAAACAAGATCTGTAGATCCAATTAGAGGTCAGCTAGGATGGGGTGGTTTAGCAGCTTGCCCCATGGCTTTTTTGGGGGGCCTGGTTTTTGCCTGTGTTTAAAGAGTTCTCTTGGTGTAGTGGGTTATGCGTTGGGCTGTAAACCTCAAGGTCAGCAGTTAGAAACCACCAGCCTCTTCACAGGAGAGAGATGAGACTATCTGATATGATACAGCTTCACAGCCCTGGAAACACACAGGGGCAATTCTCCTCTGTGTTGAAAGGTTTCTGTGATTCAGAATCAACTCAGTGGTGGTGAGAGGGAGTTTTGCCTGTGCTCTGGAATACAAGTATTTCCAACTTTTCCAAAGTTCACTACCTGTTTTTGCTAACTAAAAGACATCAGAGGAGGATTTTCAGTTTTATGAAAGGCGTCTACTCAGCATACGGCTGAATCAAACCAGCATAGCTTTGAACGGTGTCTGGCCACACTGCAGTTAGTATTATTTCAGGTTATGTGAAATATAACTGGGTATTTTGGGTCTGAGAACGCTCAAGAGTTTTTCTCTGTAAATCGATGATACTGGCATCTGCACTGGATACCATTTCGGTTTTTGAAAAGTTGCATAGGAAAGATCTACTTTTGATTAACAAGGGAAACCTTTCTTAGTACTAGCACTCACTCACTGCCCAATGTGGCCCAGTTTGGATGATAAATTGTATGATCTCCCTAAAGATGACTCAAAAGGAAAATCTGGATCCCAGAGAAATCCAAGAATAATTACTTTCTTCCAGAAACTTGAGTCCTGATGGATGGAGTGCCCTCTAGAGAACACTGGTGAGAGACATTTGTACTGAGAACAATCATGTAGTTTTGTCACATAATGGATCCTACATGACATGTAGCAAAAACAACAATATTGTCACATGCCATAAGCTTGCCCCTAGTAGAGCATTTTCCAGGTGAAGAACGCATTGGGTTGATGCTTTTATTTCCCGATGACAACAGCTGCATCTTCCCGTAGATGCTTTGTATTGACTAAGGATCCTGTAGGGTAGTTTTGCCACTCACTGGTTTCTTCTTTCACTAAAGTTAATTGTTCTGATTCTAATAGCTCTAGTGTTTATCTCTGATTTTATCTCTCCTAGCTCTACTATTTCCCTCAAATATTATTTGAGGTTTAGGGGCAGAATTTAATGTCTTAATGTTTCAAACTTAGCAGAACCCAAATCTCACTGTCATTGAGTTGATTCAGACTCATAGTGGTCCTATAGGTCAGGCTAGAGCTGCACTTTAGGGTTTCTGTGACTCTAAGTCTTCATGGGAGTAGACAACCTCTCTGTTCTATGGAGCAGCTGCAGATCATGTGCTACCAGGGCTCTTTAAAACTTACAAGAGATGTTAATGCTCATTTATATATTTTATTACCTTACATAAAAGTTTGAAAGGGAAGAAAAGAAAACCAATATTAAGTGTCAATGACTCTCATTGACAAACATGTTACCATATCCCAACTTCTTTCTAATTTTTGTAAGGAGGACCATTGCTTCTTGCTTTATATAGACTTATCTACACATTCTGGGTGCTTATATTCACAAATGCCCATATTGCTTCTCTAACTCTTCGTGTCTTCTTAGAACATGTATTTTTCAATCAAGAAAATATCATGTTAGCAAATTATACTTCTGACAATTTCCTATTAAAAGTAGTTGGAGAATGGGGTTAAAATTGGATTTCCTCACCTTCAAACAGTCCTAGGTGTTTCGTACTTCACTCTTAGGCTAGAAGCACTTCTAGATTTTGCACATTTCCAATTACATCTAAATAAATTCACATTGAAGCTCTTTAGACAGTTACTTCATTGCACGCATAAGTGAAAATTCTTTGCTACTTTGCCTAAGCTGTTGAGGCGCTCTCACTTTTTAAAACTCTGCTACCCTCCAGTCCAGAAACCTTGCTGGCCAAGGACCTATTTAGACTGGAACCAAAACGGCTGCAGGTGGGAAGTATCAAGAGTGTCCCGTGGTTCTCAACTCCACAAGAAGCCGACCTGTCCAGCTTCTGCCTCCCCTTCCTCCCTTTTTGGAACAAAAGGCATACATCACAGAGATCCCTCCCTGTCATTTAAGGGGGGGAGGAAAATCCCACTGCAGAGAGAAGCAAGTTTCTGGAACCAATTATTAGATCTCTAAGGCCTTTTTTGTGCCCCCAATAGATTTTGTTTTCCAAACTAGCTATCTTTTTTCTCAGCAAACCCAATTAGTCACCAAATTGCTTGTCCAAATGTAAATTCAAATGTTTAAACTTATAACATGAAGCTTATATTGAATGCAATAGTTTTCTTAGCAATTATGGGGCTTTGGGTTCCTTATCACATAGATGCAAATAATGGAATGGTGTTTGATATTTATAAGTAGAACTCATTGCCGTCGAATTGATTCCAACTCAGAGGGACTCTATAGGATAGAGTAGACTTGCCCCTGTGGGTTTCCCAGACTGTAACTCTTTACAGGGGTAGAAAGCCTCATCTTTTTCTCATGGAACAGTTGGTGGTTCCAAACTGCTTACATCACAGTAGTTAGCAGCCCAATGTGTAACTGTTATGCCACCAGGCTCCATTATAGGTAGAAGCTAAAGGCTAAAATTAAATGTTTGGTTTAACTCCTTTATAAAGAAATATTTTACCAGAGCTTCTGATAATCAGAATATCAGATTTAAATATCTCTAAACTACAAAGTTTACTTCATACTACCTAGTTCTTCCTCCCACTTTGGGTCTTAGTAGCTCTAGAGATGGTTAAAACAGTGAAATTGCCGAAAGGAATATCTGGGGTCAGATAATGAACAGAAAAATAATTGCTGTCAATTGTGGGTTGTCATAAAAATGCTATCCCAGTGCTGTGATGGAGGACGATTTTTAATGTAAGTCAGTCCTTGTGAGTCAAGAGGGACAGTCAAGTTCCTGTCACTGCTCCCTGGTAATATTTGAGCGTGCTTTATCTTCCTCTCTGTGAAGTGTGCTTTGTTCCTCGTCGAGCCATCGCTGGCTGTAGAAAGCCAGCAGGCAGAACAGCAGTGTCACAAATATGAGTATCTACACCTGGTCACAGGGATAAGATGGGAATGGGGTGGGCTTGACTTTTGCTGTTGCCGTTGCTTCTTTCTCTCTGGTGTTATTGTTGCCTCCACTCAACACCTCCCTGAAGGCAACTTTATGAATTTATACAACAGAAGCGACTTTGTCGGGTCTTGTCCCATTTCTTGGTTAATGGTGTGTCTGAGCCAGGTGGGGAGGGTACTCTGTAAATCCATTTCTTTGAGGGTTTCCATCATTGTTGCTGGGACACATGATGTCTTCATCTTAGCAATCGTTCTTTCCTGATGATGTGAGTCAAAGTCTTGCCATCCTCACTTCTAAGGGATACTTCGTTGTGTTTCTCCTAAGGCTGATTTGTTTTCTTAACAGTCCAAACTGTAGTCTAAATTCTTCACCAACCATCAATTCCTCTTCTGCCTTCCTTTGTCATTGTCCAGCTTTGACATTCACATGCAGTCATCGAAAACTGACTTGGGCCAAATGCACCTTTGTCACCAAAATGATGTCTTTTTTTTTTTTCAAAGAAGTCTTTTGTTGCAGATTCGCCTTTCCTTGGGCAGCCCAGAAAATTATTTGAGCATTAAACACACAGGTATGGTCTTCGTCGCTAGCTCGGTATTGATGTATTATTATTTTTACAGGCAATGAAAGCTTGGAAGAGAACTACGTCCAGGACAGTAAAATGGGGTTCGTTATCAACGCCATCTATGCCATGGCCCACGGGCTGCAGAACATGCACCAGGCCCTCTGCCTGGGCCACGTGGGCCTCTGCGATGCCATGAAGCCCATCGACGGCCAGAAACTCCTTGACTTCCTCATTCGGTCCTCCTTCGTTGGCGTGTCCGGAGAGGAGGTGTGGTTTGATGAGAAAGGGGATGCTCCCGGAAGGTAAAGCAGTTTTCTTTCAGTTTTTGCATTTTTTTAAATTAAAAGATCTCAATAACCTCGTGAACGTATCTAGGTCAGACAGATGACAACTCTGATTATATTGGGCTTCCTGATCTCTGGGAATTATGAGGAGAGATGTAGTCAGATGGCTTAAAAGACAGGGTTGATGATCACATGGACCTCACTGCAGACCACCCAGTTTAGTACAACGTTGAAATATGTACTGGTCAACATTTCAATACTGCCTCTCACCAGTGCTGTTCCTGTGCCCCTATAACCTGGGACCTTCCCTGGGGACCACTATGACCTCCCTGTAAGCCCAAGATCCTCAAGTGATCACACCTGGTCAGCATCAGGCTGGCAACCTTTCTAATGGGTAGATCCCAAAACTCTCCTGCTTGTGAAGCATTTTGAACTTTGCACCTGCGTAAAGAGCTGGATTCAGGAAGAGAAACAAATCCTTTCCACACTTTCCTCCTGCTCAGGTTAATGTATATCTCTGATCATGTATCTTTTAGTACAATAAAGGAAATACTTAGGGGGGAGGATTGAGTATCTGTGACCAGTAAAGCATTAATCAAGTCAGCAATAATTTAACTAGTGAAGAATATTTGCCTTGAGAGTCTAACTCTTTTACAATATACTTGAGCATTCTACCCTTTTGTGAAATACGTTACAATATGAGATCAAATTGCCTAAAACAAACAAAAGCAAGAGACGGGAAATTTAGCAGGCAGTGAGGTTATGTTGGTGGAGGAGGGACAGCTCAGAAAAGGAGGGTGAGGATGGCTACATGGCCGGAAGAATGTAATCAATGTCACTGCACTGTACATGGAGACATGGAACCTAAGTGGCACAGTGGCTAAACACTCGCTGCTAACCCAAAGTCCCAACCATTCCTCAGAAGAAATATTACAGCCATGGCAATCTGTGGGGCAACTGTAGCTCAATTCTGCCTGAGCGGGTTTTAGGAGTCGGAATCAACCCACTGATCTGCTGGGAGTTGGAATCAACTGAATGATTTATAAATAAATAAATAGATAGATAGATAGATAGATAGATAGATAGATAGATAGATAGATAGATAGAT